AGAGGTCATGTTAATACGTGGACAGGAGGAGCGAGCAGGAATGGGGGCCTAGAAGGAGGAACAACCAGACTTACCAGATTCCTGGGGAAAAACCATCACTTAATAGATCTAATCAAATGGCCTTAGTATCATCTGGCCACCAGTCCCTCCAGAAGCTGCTTAGGAAGGTGTCAGGAAGAGTCTATGTGGACACCACCTAAAATGCCTAACTGCAAAGAGAACACATGATGGCAATGGCACCAGTGAACTTCTGAGACTGTGGGCAAAATAATACAGAAATGCAAGGTTTTTCAACTTGTAGAAACCCCACCAACTTAGAAAATGAGTTAGAGGACAAACGGAAGGAGTCTTAAAGTGAGATGTGTACCATGAATATTTAAGAACGCAAACACATTCCGGTCCAGCGTATTTCCTTTCACCACTCCTCAAGATGCATCCCAATGGTGTATTTTTCTTTATCTTCCCACCGGGTTCTTTTGGACTGGCCTTCCCCACGCTCTCTGTCTGCACATAAACCACAACACTGCTACGTCTTATGATAAGGCAGCTAGTCCTGAAGACTTGATTCCTCAAGTATAGCACTCTATTTCCACAGTCTCGGAATTTTTCATTGAGTATTCCATCAGTAGAACACAATCTAAGCACATAGGATTCTGAGTACATCCTCAGTATATGTGCATATTTATACAGAAATTAGATAATGATTACTATCCAGCTCATATATTAAGCACTAGTAAATTTGTTTCACTTTTGAAAAATTAACAATAAATAAATACAACTTTTGATATTCAAAGGAATGCTATTTCTCTTCAGACTACTGCAGTAGCCACATTGACCCAAAAGGTAAAGGAATGGAGGGCTCTATGGGAAGGACCTAGTAGACTGGACCCCAGGCCTTTGTCACATAGGAAGAAAGGGACCCTCTTCCAAGCATGCATCCAAGTTCACTGTGGGCGGGCGCTGGAAAACAGAGTGCAGGAGCTTTTTGTTGTTGCTGCAAATTTTCCAGCTCAGACACATCTGAATAGGATAAAGGTCTCAAACTGCTTTATTTCTCTATTCATTTCCATATTTCCTCCATTCAAGTCAGCCTCATCCATGAGAAAGTTTTCCATCAACCTGTTACTTGATGGATTTAGCGACCACTGATGATGATTGTTTTGCTCTACTGTCTCATCAGGACTTTTATAATGCTCATTTTCTAATTCATTCCTTTTGCATTTATTAGTTGTGATTTCTCCATGATTAATGACTTTCTCTCATCAACTGTTTGATTATTTTCAAATACAATTTGTGCTAGAAAGGCATGATCAAAGCTGAATTCTTTCACTTTAGTTTTTACAGTAATGAGGTAGTATCCTAGCAATTTGCAAAGGTGACCCACTACACTTTGTGGAGTTTTCTTGGTTGGTGTATCATTCCGGAATCTAGAATCTTTAGGTACTCCCCTCTTTTTGTATACTAAAGATCTTGGTTCCTACAACATACCTATAACAGTTTCAAGTAACAATATAAATACTTCCCACTACAACTGTATAGTCAAAGGATGGTCTTTTAAAGCCACTTAAGTAATAATCTTCTCTATATGAGAGGTTAACATCAACCTCATGCGTATAGCTAGGTTTGTCTCTATCTGCTTTCAATTCTTAGTGAATGCTTTTCTTTTTTATTTGAATTTTTATTGTGGTAAAAAACAAGTAACACTAAATTTACCATCATAACCTTTTTTAAGTGTTCAGTAGTGTTAAGTATATTCACACTGGTATGCAAGAGATCTTCAGAATTTTTTCATCTTGTAATACTGAAACCCCATAGCCATTAAACACTAATTCCTCCTCCCAACTTGGTAACCACCTTTCCGTTTTCTGTTTCTATGATTTTGACTGCCTTAGATACTTTATGAGTGGAATCATATGGTATTCACCTTTTTGTGACTAGCTTATTTCCCTTAGCATAATATCCTTGAGGTTCATCCATGTTGTAGCATATGAAGGATTTCCTTCCTTTTTAAGGCTAAATAATATTGCATATATATGTACACTACGTTTTTCTTTATCCACTTGTGTGGATGGACATTTGGGTTGCTTCTACCTCACGGCTATTAGGAATACTACTGCAGTGAACATGAATGTGCAAATACTTCTTCGAGATCCTACTTTGAATTCTTCGGAATATTTCTCTTTTTAAATTAGGTAAAACATTTACATGGTCTTAAAGTCAAAATAAGGAACATTAAGAGACATCAGCCTTCTAGCCCCATCCCTGGATACCTTTTTATCCAGTGGGAATCACTTTATCCAATGGCAATCACTTTTATTAGTTTATTTATCCTTTCATTGTTTCTTTTGGAAATATAAGTTCATTCATATATACTAACACGACCATACACACTCTTCCTCTATATCTGACATATATAAAAGGGAGTAGCTCTACATTGTCCTGCACATTGACTCTTATCACTTAAAATATCCTAGACATGCCCCTCCTGGAATGAAAGCCTTCCTCATTTCTTTCTATAGCTACGTAGTACTTCATTCTATTAATGGATCATATTATTCACTCAGTCCTCTATGATGATTACTTGGGTTGTTTCTTGTTGCTTCCTATCACAAATAGTGCTGCACTAAATGCCCTTGAGCACATGCCACATCTTGATTTTGCTCATTATCTTTGGAATAGATTCCTATATATGAGGTGCTTAGTTGAAGAAAGAAAATGCAGAGGCAGTTTTACTAGATCCTGACAAACACATCCCCACTGGGGTAGTACCATGCTGCATTCTAACCACTAGCGTTGAAGAGGGCTGGTTTTGCTCACCGCATCATCAGAATAGCTATGCTGTTCAACTTTCGCATTTCTGCCAATCTGTACATGGGACATGGTATCTTGGTGCAGTTTAAAAATGCATTTCTCTTACTGTGAGTGAAGTTAACATCTTTCCATACGTTCAGAGCAGTAAATTTCTCTTTCCTCTAAACTTAATAGCCTTTTCCCATTTTTCTGTTGGAACATGGAACTTTTTCTTAATTTTTATATATTATATATATACACATATATATAATTTAAGTATATATATAAATATATATGTATGTGTATATATAAGGGTCTATATTAGTAATTTAGCCCTCTGTGATATCATTTACTTATGATGTTATTGGTTGTTGTTTTGCCATACAGGTGGTTCTTTTTTTTAAAATATAGTCAAGCATATCAATTTTCCCTCATTTCTGCTGAATTCTGAGTCATGGTTAGGGAACTAATTCCCTTCCCAGGTTAACAGAAATTAATCCATGTTTTTATCTTCAGTTACATTTTAAGCAGTGAATTTCCTTCAATTTAATCAACCAATACTGCTGAAATTCTCCATCCATGGAGAACAAAAGAGGTTTGCAGGACTGTGAATTCCAACATTCTAAAATAGAACTTTGTTTTCTAGGGGAAAAAAAACCTCTCTTCTCTACTCCCTGGAAACTCCATCTCTTGTGGGGCACACACCTGCCATAGCACCCAGCGGTTTTAGTCACTTTGAACACAGTTAATGTTTTATTTCACTTGATTTAACACACAGGTCACTTCTTAGGCTATTCTGTGCCACCTTATCCCATCCCTCAAAGTTACACAGCAAAGTCAAATCACAGGCAAACTCTGAGCATCCTCACCACACTAAAAGCCATCTGTTACCTAATGTGCCAAAAATCTATTTGCCCCATGAACTGTGCCCCAGGGACGGTGTGTAATAGTAGGATGATACAGCTCCATGAGCAATGACATTTATGAAGCATACAACACACTCTCACAAATCTGAGCTTAATAGAACACTTAAGGATGAGTTGATTTTTAAAATTACTCTGCATTCTTAATTCTCCCTTCTCATGCCTAACACCCAAAGATTAGTCCAATGCATGTGCTGTTACATTTAGTGAGTGTGAGACAGGGGTTACCTTCAGGTAGCTGCATACAATGGGAAGGGACAACCACATGGGAAGAAGATTAGGAAGGAGTCTTTTGGGTCTTGGTTCTACAAAGCGAACAGATTCACCTCAGAAGTTACAAAGTGGAAACCTCTGGATCAAGCTTATCCTGATAATTTTAGAAAACAGGAATTCTCTCATCATCCAAATTATCTCATGTGGCCTTTCACTTCTGGAATAGGGCTTCATCTCATTACTCAAGACTATTGACTTACAAAATAAATTCATTGTTGGCATAAACACTATCAAATGTGGTTTTTGAGTTCACAGTCCTCAGCTAATTAGAAATGAGGCTAGTGCCAGGTAAACAGAAAGCAGCAGGAAAAAATGGTAAAAGTGGGAAAATAACCCTATAGAAACAGAAAATGTCTAAGAGCCTAGCATCTGTGGCCAGTTAATTCATCATCATTTGGTGTGCTGTTCTTACTATATTGGCTCATGAAATAAGCACTGCTGCTGAAAACAATGACACCAAGTCAGCAAGAGAAGGTAAAATTTCATTCTGGGCCTAGCATTGAAGAAGTCAGTAAAATACAAAACTGAGTTTAAAACAGTTCCATTTTTTAAAAGCTATTTTTTTCTTTAAAAAGTTTGATGCTTAAATAATTAAGGTTTAATTATGTGGAAAATAGATCTGCATGAAAGACTTCACCCCTCATTAGTGACAAAGTGTACTCTAAATAGCATCTATGTGGCATAAAATGTGTTTAGTGCCTGCCAATCTAAAGTCACTGCAAAGTCCTTTCCCAAGTAGTTTCTAATGATACTTTGTACTGAACATTTTTTCTCCAGAATATTTCCAAGGCTTTTCAAAAAATGTTAATGTGGCCTTTCGATTTCAACTAAAAAACAAAACAAAACAAAACAAAACAAAAAAAACCAATTCAGTAATTCCCAAGGAAAGGTTCAACAGCACAGACTTCTACAGCTAATGGTCCTGAGAATCATAACCCAAAATAGATGGCGGCTAATTTTCTCATCTATTCTTGGTGGCATTCTGGAAAGCATACATGAAACAGGAATACTCACGGAACATGGTATAAAACTGCTGAGGGTTCAGATTCCATTTTCCCCAGGGGGTCTTGTGGCCTTTCAATTGGGCATAATTTGCGTGATTAAATTCAGGTTCAGTACCAAATGAATCGAGGACTCGGAGCATGCACCTAAAAGAAAACAGCAATATGTTTAACACTACATACTTGCCCCCAAAGTTGAAAAGGTAAAAGCTCTAACCCTTCCTTCAGGACTACTAAAAATAGGTAAATCCTTTTAGACAGACGCAGGACCAGACAAAAACTGAGATGTTTTAGAATAGCTTGTGTACCAAACATCTACTTGTGTCACTTTAGTGTCTGAGACATCACACAGCAGATACGATTTGCTTCAGATCGGGTAACTAATTACAGAGGATCAATCAACTACCAGCAAAATAAAAAGTTCCATGAAAGCTTGAACTGGAGACTGCCATGTTCAATGCCGTACCCCCAGCACCTAGCCAGAGCTGAGCACACAGTAGGTGACTGATCAACCGATGCCAAAGAAACAGAGCTACCATCTACAGAGGTCTTATTCTGCTTAAATCATATGACATGTGTTATCTCTAGGAGAAATCACTCAACGTTTTCATCAATTCGAGTATTTGACTTTACATTAAGCTTAGAATCTTTCAGTAGGCAATGGTATTTTTTATATTTCTGATAGCAATAGAACTTTATTTGCTTTCTCCTAGAACTTGAAGAAATGCAAGTGAAGACGTTTTGTTTACTATTCCACCAAAGCCATAAAACAGGGCCAAATCTGGTCTACCGTCTATTTTCGTAAGGTCTGTGAGCTTAGAATAATCTTTACGTTCTTAAATGGTTTTTAAAAAATATTTTGTGACATGTACAAATTATATACAATTCCAATTTCCATGTTCAAAAATAAAAATTGTATTTGAATGTGGCCATACCCTGTTGTTGACCTATTGTCTACGGCTGCTTTCATCCTGTAACAGCACAGCTGAATAGCTGCAGTGACGCATACATGGCCCAAAAAGCTTACAATGTTTACTAGCTGGCTCTTTTCAGAAAGTTTCCTGACCGCTGCTTGAGAGTGCACGAAGAACAACCAATTGGAAGAAAGGAATCAATCCCAAAACAAAATTTATTGATTTTGGTAATATTTCATCACTGACTTTCAAAGTATTTGATGTAAATTAAACTTGAGGATGGCCAATAAAAGCAGTTCTATTTTCTAGTATGTATCAATAATACTTCTGAATAACTTTTAGAAGACTAAGAAGCATAAAAGTAAAGATTGAAACTCATATTTTAGAATCAGATGATGGTAACAACTTTTAAAAATCTGGCTCACTTTTTAAAATCCAAACATGAGATTGGACTTTCTAGGAAGTATACTCATAAATTTTCTTTTCTGTGTGCTAGTTTTCTCGTTAGAGATCACTACAATTTGTTAAGGCCAGGAAGTGAAGAAAAGAAAGGCAGGAAGGCCACAACCACACGTCAAATACAAGCTGACCACAGGAGGAATTTCCCTGTCTGAGATTCTTGTGTGGCTCTCACGGAATATGCTCTCATCATAGCGACAGTTTTCACAGTATCATCAAAGATACGTCATTGGTCTGGTGGCCAATAGGTGGGCAGAAATAAAGCCCACAGTCCTGAAAAAAGAAAGCTAGGGACCCAAGGAACAGATCAGTGTTTTTGTTTTCTTTGCTCTTTGAATAGCTCAGAGCATCCCTTTCCACTTAATAAAACATACCCATTTCTTATATTTTTCCGTTTAAAAAAAAGATGTACAAGGAACTGGTTTGAGCCAGTATATATTCTTCTGCAAAAGCTGGCAGTGTTAATGGTGGCAGCTCTGAAGGTCACTGCAAAAAGCAGGAGGAGAGGACAGGACCCACGCTGATTTGTGGGGCTGGGGAATGCTCCACTCCTACCAGAGAATCAGACCCGGGATTCGCCAGCCCTACTTTGTGAGTCAAAGATTACAGCACTTTGTGCAGGCACAGCAGGGAGAAACGGGTCGCTCTTGTCATAAGGAGCCTTGGCTTGAAGGCTCAGCTTTTTCCACTTATTGGCAATTGACTCCAACAGTCTACAGCCGTCCTTGGTAACTGGTAGGTTGGTTCCAGGACCCCTGTGGGTACCAAAATCCAAGGATACTCAAGTCCCTTACATAAAATGGTATAGTACTGTCATATAACCTATGCACATCCTCTCATATTTAAATCTCTAGATTACTTATAATGCCTAGTATCATATTTGTATTTTTATTATTGTATTATTATCTTTTTCCTTCAGATATTTTTGGTCTGTGGTTGAATCTGTGGATGTGGAACTCATGGCTATAAAATGCTAACGATATACTCTTCTCTAGCTTTGGCTGGTGACCATATTTTTAACTTGAAGTTTTATTATTGTTATTTTTGATTTGGGCAACTCAAACAAATCCTGATGAGTAAAGCTGTCTGCTAAGGGCCTAACGCCTGAAAGCCCAGACTTTGCACAGTGCCTAGATGTAAGCTATGTGGCACTGGGCTCTTCCTGAAAGAGGAATGGAATGATCAGCTGTCTCCCAGAAATTTATAATTTGACATCCTTTTACCTGAGGCTTTTGCTTGGGAATTGCTTTTCTAGCTTATCTAGGTTTAATTTATAAAGCACAGACAGGACACTGGACTTGGTCTAGCACATGGAAGGTTTGACATTACAGTTTTCCTTCTTCAATCACATCCTGCATCTGTGTGTTTTGCAACTATTTTTATAATGTGTTGCTAATATTTAGGCCTTCCCTCTAATGTCTCTGTGTCTGGAACATCATAAGCAGACTAATGACTTAAAAAGATATTTGTTTTGATGCCCAACGCAGCTCGTCTTCTTTTAACAGGGATCACAGCAGTCATGCCAAGTAACTCCTGGAATCTTCTCTTTGCTGTCAGCCACACTACTATGAAATGGATGTTCAGGAGCTCCTTGCCATGCCCTAATTTCTAATCTGGTGTTTGACATAAAACATGGCATATCTTAGACTACTTGCAGTTTACTTTCTTGTAAGTCCTTCGACAAAGGCCTTGTAGGAAGTAAAATGGGTATGAGTTTTGCAGTAACTAGCAGAATACTAGTTGCATGTAGGCATGTAATATATGTTTAACTGAATTTCCTAGGTCCCTACGTAAATTGGACTAAATTTACAATTAATTTTCCAAGGGTTTGCTCCTAATTGAAAGATCAGATAACAACAATACATTTAATGGAATACATACCAACAACCAAGATGAATACTGACAATTCACCTTGGTTGTTGGTATGTATTCCATTAAATTTCTGATTTTTAAAAGGGAAAATTTTAAATCTTCTCTGACAATTTCTAATTTTTAAAAGGGAAAGAAATTGGCAAGAAACTTCCTAGGGGACCTGAGTAGACTTTTAATAGAATCTTCGCTTCATCACACCACAAAGACTGCAGACCTAAAGCACTAACAGACCTCCTGCCAGGTAATATCACTAACAAAGATGATTTATTAAAGAAAGGCAGATAAACATTACATTCATCCATAAAACCCCCTCTGAGATGGTGCCTCTTCGTCCAACAAGAATGAAATGCCAATCAACGGTGACCATTTTAATAACAAAATTATCCTTTTTTAATTCACCTAAACACTACCACTGAGAATATTTTTCCATCCAAAGAACTCTTAATAGCGAGGATATGTGAGTCAAGGGAAGCCTGTACTGCACAGATTCCTTTGCACATTTATCAGATGTCTGCCATTTACAAAATGGTAGAAAACAACAACTCTACTTTCGTCAAGATTTCAAGAAACAAGCCAAAACCAGGAAAAAACCTAATGCAAAAGGTAGAGCACTATCTTGGCCTGCAGCAAGTTTTTAGTTTTGCTTTTTTTATATTTATGTGCCATTTACGTAAGTTTATTCACCTTTTAGAATTTATTTTTTAAAGGAAACTTTTAAAGACCATAAATAAAACCCAGTATTATGCAGCCATAAAAAAGGATGAGTTCATGTCCTTTGTAGCTACATGGATGAAGCTAGAAACCATCATTCTGAGCAAACTATCACAAGGACAGAAAACCAAACACCGCATGTTCTCACTCATAGGTGGGAATTGAGCAATGAGAACACTTGGACACAGGGTGGGGAACATCACACACCGGGGCCTGTCGTGGGAAGGTATAGCGTTAGGAGATACACCTAACGTAAATGACGAGTTAACGGGTGCAGCACACCAACATGGCACATTTATACATACGTAACGAACCTGCATGTTGTACACATGTACCCTAGAACTTAAAGTATAATTAAAAAAAATTCATTCTAAAACTGGCAAAATAACTCAGTTTCTCTGTCCATAAAGTTATTAGTCTTGATGAAACTGACATGAGTAGTCAGTGTTATCTAGTACTGTTGTTTACTATTCTCTCATGACTAAAGACCTCCAAATCATTTGATACTCCTGGCAAGGACCAAATTTGGTGGTTTGGGGGACCTTTGTAATGAGAGGAATTTTTAAATGTGATAAAGGACAGAAGCAATAAAAGACAAGACAAAAAATAAAAATGAGAAATTAAAAAAACCCCAAAAATTAGAAAGAAAAAACCCAGTATTGACCGCCATACATGCAAGATAACAACAACAAAAAAGCATATAACCTTTAGGAAGTATTTTACAATTTAGAATAGATACTTTTGCCTGCTGAATGCTGAGACTCACAACTACTCTCACATTGTTAAGAATGCATGTGTTAAAAGTAGTGACAGAGATATAGTAGCATCAAACTACACCTTTTCTCAAAAAGACTGAAAGAAAATTGAAAAATTAATAAATTTCTTTATATAATTCATTGTGATTTAGGGCCATGTTTGTATACCAGGTAAAAGTGTTTCAAATACTAAATCGTGGTCCCAAACCCACACTCAGGGAAACACTGAGCTACTCTACTAAATAATAAAGACTGCACAGAGTACACATGCACCACAGTCATACTAATCATTGGCTTATTTTAAAAAGTGCAAGATCCCAGCATTCAGATAACGTATTCCCAGATTTCCCTTCCATGAATGACAAGAATACTGATGAGGTAAAGGGTAAGAAAAGTCAATCATGATCTAAAACCCAAGGAACACAAGAAATGACACTGTACATATCTTATCAAAATGGTTATTTGATTAAATAGATAACACTGGCATACGCATACTGAGAGGAAGGCTAAGTATTAATACTAGTCAAGGTAGAAAGGAGGTTGAACACTTGTTTTCTATTTTTAAGAAACCAATGAAAATAATGAATAGCCAAAGAAAGTACAAAGTCACTGAGAATCTGAATTTCAATTATGAATGAGCAATACACTCCATACAGCTGAAAAGATACTATTTGGTAAGCTTTTTCTACCCACAACCATGCAACCTTTGTTGAGGGGGAAAAAACCCCTTAAGTCAGAAAACCATGCAGCACTTACTGGTAATGAACCCAGGATGGTCCAAGAGTTTTCTTGAATTGAGCAAGTCCTACAATATCAATATAAATGAGCTCAACGATCCTGTCTCCTACAGTTGGGCAGCCAGATCGGTTTCCTACAACCTTCTTCATGATTCTAGAGAAACGGCAAGAGAGAGGGGAGAAAAAAAGAGAAAAATCATTCACTTAAAAGGTAATAAACTTGGCAACTTTAATGGTCAAACGCCACCACAACAATCCTTATTAGAGATGACAGCATGGCCCTTTCAAATCTGCTACTTAAATAAATTCTTTCCATCCATTAAGGCCAACCCAGTACCCTGATTCTGACTCATGCAAAATGGTGCAAATGGTGGCATATAAACACAGTCTTTGAAATCAAGGAAGACATGGGTCTGACTCCATCACCACTATGCAGCAGCTGTGAGACCTTAAACAAGTTACTTAACCTCTCTCAAACTCTTTGCTCATTCCAGAAAACAAGGACTGGATACAAAGAGCATTGGACGCCAATCTCTCAGGGGTTCTTCACAATGAGATACTGAAAAGAAAGTGCCTAATGAATACCAGACACTCAACAACTTAGTTTTCTCCCCCAGAGCCTGTTCTTGCTGCTCAGCACCCTTATTAACCTGCTCCCCATCTCCTTTTTCTAAATGTCTTCAATTTCTAGCCTCTATAGTATTAACTTCTTTCTACCTGTCTCATACTGTTCCTTAACTTTTTCTGCTATGTCAAATTTTTCCTCCTAGCTTGACCATATTACAGAACTGGCACTACGGTTTATAGTTTTATTTTTATCACCCTTTCCCCCACCCATGCATTCATCCACACAAAACCACACTTGTGCTCAGAGTGTGATGATGTACTTGATTGGTAGGCCAACTTCATGTGTAGGAACAAGTAACTGCTAACCCTACTGCTACCCACTTACTAATCAACCACCACTGTTGCTTATCCCGGCCCACACCCCACAATAATCCTTCACCAAATTATGAACATCCTGCTTCAAAGGACAAGAGTCACAAACAGGACTCTGCTCGACAGCTCCGTATTAACCACCACATCAGCCACCCTCCTCCTTCCTTCTCCCCTGTTTATGAAAGAACTAGGTTCTGCAGAACCAATTTCTTCCCAAGAGTCAGAAAACCCTTTCTGTTAAGGGCCAGACAGTGAATATCTTCATCTTTGCAGGCCATACATTCTCAGTCACAACTGGCCCATTCTCCCGTTGTGGAATGAAGACAGCTATACATGATATGTAAACAACAGGCATGGCTGTGTTCCCATGAAACTTTATTATTTATTTTCAGATGGAGTTTTGCTCTTGTTGCCCAGGCTGGAGTGCAATGGCACGATCTTGGCTCACTGCAACCTCCACCTTCCGGGATCAAGCGATTCTCCTGCCTCAGCTTCCTGAGTAGCTGGGATTATAGGTGCCTGTCCCCATACCTGGCTGATTTTTGCATTTTTACAAAAGAGAGACAGGGTTTCACCATGTTGGTCAGGCTGGTCTCGAACTCCTGACCTCAGGTGATCCACCCGCCTCGGCCTCCCAAAGTGCTGGGATTTTAGGCGTGAGCCACCATGCCTGGCCCCATGGAACTTTATTTACAAAAAAAGACAGAGGGCTGATTTGGCCTGCTGAGCCATAGTTTGCAAACATGATGCTCAGTGTTTCCCAAACTCGCCGGTATAATGAAATTACCTGGAGGCATCACAAAATACTTATGGCTCTGCCCTACCCCCAAGGGTTGTGATTTAATTAGCCTGTGGCATGGTCTGTGGGATTTTTAAAAGATACCCCAAAGTTAAAAAATAAATACAAAGATCTCCAGGTGGTTCTAAAGTACAGATATATTTAAAGACCACTGTTCTATGTTGCTTCCACAATTATCTTCTTAAATAAAACACATCTAGCCCTGACCCCAGTGTGCATAAAGACTACTAGAGTTAAGTCCTCACTTAACATCATCAATAGGTTCCTGAAAACCAGGACTTTAAACAAAACAACAGATAGCAGGCCCACCAATAAAGTCATTTCCTTCAAATCAGTGGTTATAATGTTAACGAAAAAAACTGGCTTGATTTTACATAATTTCAGTTATAGTCCTAGTTTCCAAGAACCTATCAACAATGTTAAGTGAGGACATACTGAACAAATTTTCCCTCGACCATCAAATTCAGTCTCTGACTGATAAATCCCTAACATGCCTTTCCTGACCTCCCCAGGCAGTACTTGTCCCTGGTACTACCACAGCACTCCATTTATTTACCTACCCACTCATTCATTCACCTATTTATTCCTTCACTCATTCACTCTATAGTTATGTGAGTACTCATTACTTGCTAGGCACTATCTAGATGCCCACTACATAGTGACAATACTCAGTTTTCTGTAATCCCAGTGCTTACATTCTAGCATCCACATACACCTCACTTAGCACCAACAGAACTGGAATTAGTGTAGTTACTATGTAATATATTAATTGTAATTATCAAATGATTGGCAGCTCCTTGACCACGCATTGGTCATCTCTGTATGTCCCACACCAAAACTAGCCTATAGAAGGCACCAGATGAGTGACTGCTAACTGTACAAATGCAGCCACTTTGTAGGTTGTGTATCCAATTTTTTTTTGTTTGCTTTTGTTTTTTTTTTGAGACAGAGTCTTGCTCTGTCACCCAGGCTGGAGTGCAGTGGCATGATCTCAGCTCACTGCAGCCTCTGCCTCTCGAGTAGATGGGACTACAGGCATGGGCCACTGCACCTGGTTAATTCTTGTATTTTTAGTAGAGACAGGGTTTCGCCATGTTGGCCAGGTTGGTCCTGAATTCCTGGTTTCAAGTGATCTACCTACCTTGGCCTCCCAAAGTGCTGGGAGCCACCATATATTGTTTTAACATGTCTCTCATCTCAATGAGCTCTAGAATGTTCATTCAAGGTATTTCTTCTGGAAATATATGACATATAGCAACATGACAACTTGACTGTTGGGTGGGAAGTCTCCATGGGCAATTATCCTAAGCAACTGCAGGGGATGGAAGTGTCCCTGCTCAGCCAGCTATGCCAATATAGAAGGGATTACAGGAGGGCTGGAGCTAGAAGCAAATTTCAGTGAAATAAAACACCCAAGTAGAGTTAACAGACTCAGGTGAAAGTTGGCTAATTGAAAAAGGACTGGCTCTGGGCTTTCAGGAAATTTATTCTATCCAAATTAAATTACAAACAGGAACCTGCCCTGTTTTAAGACTTAGAAAGATTGATGTTGAGTAGGCAGTGGTATGAATTTTAGCAAGAGACAGGGAATTAGGAAAGTCAATAATGTTTCGTGCTACAGATGTTGGAAGCACCTGTAATAGCAAAGAATAAGCTCCTTAGTTTGAATTTTCTGGCATTCATTTATGAAGCCTCTGGAGCCTTCAGGTACAATGAAAACATATTATCCTTTTCACAGTGTATGTATTTAGCTCCTGAAAATAATCTTCTTATCTCCTGTTTAGTGAATTATCACTTTCATTTTCCTCGACAAAAAATTACACACTAATAGAGGTAACACTTCAAGAGTTTACAATTTCTTTCCTGTATTCTGATTTTAAAATTGAAAAGTAATCTCCTTACTCTTTGAGCTCAGCCAGTGAAGCTGAAATCCTAATGTCATGGCCCAGTAAGTACAGAGATGTAATTAAATCACTCCACTGAACTAATTCACCAAGAGGGCCACCACTGAAAGCTGTCTCTGCAATCTTAAATCCAGATTCCTTGGTCAGGAGTCCCAGGTGAACGAGGACCTGGAAAACAGAGAGGCATATACTGATTCACACAGAACCACATACAAAATGCACAGTACTGCGCCAAGAAGTGATCAACAAATCCCAAAGTCATGTTTACATCCTAACAAAATCTCAGTGTGGGGAATGCTGTTTTTCTAGAAGGTACAAAGGAAGGAAATAATTTTTCATTGTGGTTTTAGAGAAATAAAATCACTGCAGCCATTGGTATGGCTATGAGTACAAGGTTATGGACAGATAATCCCACCTTTTGAAAGCACAGTGTATTTTAAAAATCAGGATTAAAGGAAGGTAAGACAGGACAACATTTTCTAACACTCTTGGTCTTTTATCTACAGCTAAAATACTTCTAACCTCTTACCATGGAAAATTTCAAATACATAGAAAGTATTGGAAATTTGAATATACATGACAATAGTCAATACCAAAGTAATTACCGTGTAGCTTCAACAATTATTAATGCATGACAAATCTTAATCTATACCCCCATTTTCTCCCAACCCCTCTAGATTATCTCAAAGCAAATTCTAGATATATCCTTTCATCTGTAAATATTTTGGTATGCCATTTCTGAAAGGAACAAACCTTCACTTGAAAAATATAACTTGAACATCACTACTATCCCTAAAAAACCTAGTAATTCCTCAACATCATCCGATATCCAGTTAATATTCATACTTCTTCAACTGCCCTTTATTTTTTCTAAGTGCACTTGTGCGATTCAAGAGTCAGAGAACATACATAATAATTGCCTCATATGTCTCTTAGCCTCATAGGAAACAATGTACAGGTGTGTCTGTCTTGGGATGTTAGCAGTCCTTGATGGTCACTAGCTAGATCCATTAATCCATTAGGGACTGCAAAATGATATTTTACCATTCTTTGTTTATTAGCTGGAATGCCTCTCTATGAAGAGAAACTACCCCTCATCAACTATTTGGTCACCCTGAGGTTAACTCTAAGGTTATAGATAAATGCAGCCAAACTTGTACTTGGTATAGAAGGAGCCTGGTAAATATTTGAGTCTTTCTCTTTATTTGCCAGTTTTTCAGAACAATAAACTTGTTTTTTAGCCTACTCTAATGATGATCTATGAGGATTTTTAATTTAAAAAATCATTATAACATCAAAGCTATTTGATATGCTTCAAAATATTGTGGATATTCCTCTTACCAACTATCCAATTGTCCCACCTGGGCCTGTGGGAGGCTATCCAAGCTGGCTCCTAAGTTCCTTTGACATGATCTTAGTCTTCTTTGATAGCTTCTCCGCACATGGTGCCTGACAAGATTGTTCTAGGCTCAACAGGTACAATTTCTGCCTTGGACCTTAATAAGCCATTTTTCGAAGAACCTCTTATACCACTTAGTAGAAATAGCATTTAGAGACTAAAGTGTGGGGCTTAAGGGACTCAATTTTATTACTATTTATAGGCCTTACAGTGGCCCTACCTAGGAAATTTGTTTTTCCTCAAAGATAAAGCAAATCATGAGTTCCAATTGGTGCTTCCAATTCAAACTCAGGGTTACAGTGTTTTTACATAACATCACCAATCCTACCATCCATTAATTCTTTTCTTCCACACTGCAGATCCCACTTCTCAAAGACACTAACATAATTACTCATCTGCTTTACTCCAATGTTCACAATGGATTGAGAATGAGAATATCAACGCTACTGCATATTACATGATTAATAAAAATGGTTTTAAGATGTTTTTACAGTTTTTTATCCTTTGTGATATCCCATCAGAAGTGTATCGTTTACTGTGTTCTAAAGTCACTAAGAATAATCTTTCTGTGTGCTTCCATCAAAACTGGATGGATATATAGTCAGTTCTTTTGTTTTGTATTCCTCCTAATTTTTAGTTTTTGGTAATAAAATTTCATTTAGCACTTACATAAAATGATTCCAGTGTCAAATCTACAAAGTCAGATATATTCAGAAGTCTAGTTTCTATGGCAGTTTCTGTTGCCTCCATGCTAATCCCAACTCCCCTTATTTGACCTTTTTATTCCCCCTTATTGTAGTAAAATACACCCAACATAAAATTTACCATTTTAATGTATACGGTTCAGCAGCATGAAGCACATTCACATTATTGTGCAACCATCATCACCATCTCCTTTATTTTTAATTTTAGTTTATCAAAATAAGAAAAATACATTTTCAAACTAAGAGCAAGAAGCAAATGTATGTATCTGTATATATCTATATGTACACATAGATATAAATTTCCTCTCTCTCTTAAAAATAATGTACACTATTCTCTACCTTTCTTCACCTAACAATACACCCTCGAGGTTACTCCACAGGAATATATAGAAAAATTCTTTATTTCTTTTTACAGTCCACCTGTGCATGTGAACACATGCTCTTCCATACATGACCGTTTGGTGACAGAATGTTTCGTCCTGCTGTCTCACAAATTCACGAGATCTAGGCAAAAGTGATCTATCAAACTGTGGCTTGGGGTCTTGCAAATATATCTTTATTTTCTTTTTCAAACATATCAGATCAGTTGGATTAGGAATACCAAACTCATTTTTAAGTTTTTTAGATGTGGGAGCAAATTGTTCCCTTTGCTCAGTTCTGAAATCAGAACAGTTAATCTAAAGCCAGACCACCAAATCCATAGCTAACAGGGCATAAAGTCTTCTAAGTCGAGGGGTATTCGAGAGGTTTTCCAAGTCTCTCCTCATGAACTAGAAAGCAACTGGCTCAAATTTAATCAAATTTTTCTCTCCCTCTCCTAGGAGCATAAGCAGAAGCACCAACCAGACAGAGTAACAATGAAACTCAATGGCTGTCCAAAAGCCAGGGATGAAAATCAACAAAAATATAAAATTTTCATGATGATATAATAGGAAGCTCTCAAAGGTTGGATTCACGTAAGGAAATGGGGGAAAGTTTCCTGATACCCTGACAAAGACAGGTTTGAAGGAAAAGTCTTACAGGCAGATATTCTGCTTGGCTTCACCCAAGAAACTTGTGCCAGACCCTGCTAAGTAGGAGCATTGTAAGTAGGCAAAGGCCAACCCAAAAACAGCTGTACAAGAGACTGAGCAGAATCACCCTGAGGGAGTATCATCTGAGATATGACATTTCTCTTAGTCTTGTTTCCAAGCAAAATCAAATTTTAAAAGAAAACTGGCATCTAACTGCACTGAATTAATAAGAAACTCACTTTCTTCCGCTTTCTCTTTTCAAGGTTCTGCTTTTCTGCCAGGGACTTGATTGCTTGAATCCATGCGTCAGCCATTCGCCGGATCCGTAGTCTCATCCACCGGAATTCTTCATGCTTTTTCATCATACTGTAGAGAATATTAAAATCTGTACGAATTTCCGCCTAGCAACAGAAATTTAATAAAATGAATAGAAGATAAAAAGTCAGAAAGCATAATGGTTTTCATGATGTGACATTTGAAAACTTAAAAGGGTTAGTCAATTAAATTGAGAGCTTCAAAAGTAAGTCTTGTCTGCTGCAGCTTTGACTTCAAGGTCCCAGGACTGCAAACTGAAGCAAAGGCTGCTGACTGCTGATCTGCCGGAAGGGACATCATTAAAAAATTAGAAATCGAGAAAAGCAGCACAGGCATTACAAAGCCCTGAGCTATGTTCAAATGCAGCTTTTATAATGAGTATGCTTGATGTACCTTGAAATTCTCAGCACTCAAATTTACTGTGCCATTTGGATCTACCATAGGACAGCAGACTTCTAAGAAAACTGAAGTCAATTCTTAGCAGGCTGTTTGACAACGTGGAAGTTGCCAAAAAGCCTCTTTCTGTCCACGGAGTTAAACAGGGAAATAAATGTTCATCTTCTGGTTTTGTCCCAGTCCAAACAAAAATTCATTGTTCTCTAAGGAATTTAAGAGCCAGGAATACTACTTTTCTGTCATGAGCAAGTACAATTTAAAATTCAGACCAGAATAACTTAAAAGTTAGGAAGAATATTTTTCCTAATGTTCTAGAGAATATAGCTGGATGCAATCAGTGACTGGAATAACAGAGAAACATAACAACCAGGATTTATTTCACAGAACATCTCAAACATGCTGAATCCACCTTTTCAGCCACCACCATAGCTCATTCTAAACACTCATCTCTTTTCTTTCTTTATTCCCCTTTGAGATAGGGTCTCACACTCCCACCCAGACTAGAATGCAGTGGCATGATCACAGCTCACTGGAGCCCTGAACTTGGGCTCAAGCGATCCTCTTGTCACCTTAGCCTTCCAAGTAGCTGAAACTATAGGCACACGCCACGCTCAGCTAGTTATTAAATTTTTTGTAGTGATGGGGTCTTGCTGTATTGCCCAGGCTGGTCTCAAATGACTGGCCTCAAGCAATCCTCCTGCCTCAGCCTCCTAAAGTGCTGAAATTACAGGCATGAGCCACTACACCCAGTTTCATTTCCCTTCTTGACTAAACAATATCCTAGGACTCCTGTGGTTTACAGCATGGATCAGCAAACTACAGCCCTTGGGCTAAATCCTCACTGCTTATTTTTGTGCATAAAATTTTACTGGAACTCAGCCACGCCCCTTCATTTACATATTATCCAGGGCTGCTCTCTCTGTTACAATGGCAGAATTGAGGAGCTGCAATGAGACCACATGGCCTGCAAAGATGAAACTATTTACTATCTGGGTATTTTGCAGAAGTTTGCTGATCTATGGTCTAAGGAATAAAGACTTATGCTTTTAATGGGGCAACAAGTACTTTCACAGTCCCCTTCCAACCTTCCCAGTTTCATCTTCAGCCTAGCTCATCCAATCCCCTATGGCCTTGGCCAACTGAACCATGCAGGCTCTACTCCCAGAAACTGCTATGCTCTCATTTTCCCATATGAGAGATACCCTTTTCTCCTTGACCTTATATAAAATCACTCATCATTTTAAATTCAGCTCCAATGTCATCTTCACTATGCAATCTACCCTGAATATTGCAGACTAAAATGAGCTCTTCCTCATTAATTCCCACAGGCCTATATTACAGCATTTGTGACAGAGATGGTCATTATCTGCCATCACCCTTATTAGATCACGTAGGGCCTCCACATCTGGTACCAGGTCTTACTCATATCAGTAGCCCATCATTTAGGAACCCTCAGAGAATTGCTCAGTAAACAAACATATGCTAATGGTTGACTGATTTGGTCACCTAGACTTCCACAGAGATGAATAACAGAAGTTTTTCAGTGTAACACTATTTCAGGTTACAGTTGACATTTCTAGAAGATTCCACATGTATCACTTGGCATCTGACCTAAATGCCCAAGTCTAGAAAGAGTTTTCCAAAATCACTTACCAATGAATTATGATCAGCTTCTTCGTAGGGATTTTTTGCTCTCCAAGGTAAATGAGGACACCAATTTTCAACCTAAAAAACATCAGTGACACTAAGTATGCAACTTCATCTATAATGAATTAATATACAAACAAAGCACCAAGAACAGCTCCTGGCACACAACAAGCACTATATTAATATATGCTATTTTTATTATTAGCCAAATTCCCATGCTTTTAGCTAGTATTCGAGATACAAGTGCCCTCTCAGATGAAACAATCAGCAGCAAAGGTCAGAAGAAAGAGATTATATTTTACATCTGTCCTTCAAAGTACTCTACAGCAATTAATTCCTTAGTCATTTAATCCTCACATCTCTGTACCAGAAGGAAAGGGAGTCTAATGGCAGAAAGTTAAAAGACTGAAACATTGCCACCGGGGAATGAGAATCTAAGGTGTCTCTGTGACCATTTAGCAAATGGACAGGAATGATCTTTATCTGTTGTGGCATATCTGGAAAGGAAATTGAATGGCACTGAAGCCACAGAACTCAATCCTTTATCTGGGTTAGGAATGCTACTGATAGTTTAGGGCTCATTGGTCAAGGTTTCTTTCATTTTCTAGCTATTCACTTCACACTATCTCAAGAAATAAGGTGATAAAACCTATTTGAGGAGGAGGAAAAAAAAAAAAAAACCTTGATGATCTTGTGAGAACCATTCTGGAAGATGGACTGTTCTGTCAATGCATAAGGTTTAGAAATTGAGGGGAGGAGGAAAGAGAAAGGAAAAAAGAACTTGATTTTATAGAAATTTCAGCAAAGGTTATCAAAGACTATTAGGCAACTTAATTTCTAGCAAAAAATGAGAAATGCATTAAAGTTATATTGATGTCTATTCTCTGTCAAAACTAGTCATAATGAAGACAGCATTATCACCTGTTTACTAATAAATAATGAAATTATGAAATATGGCTAACAAACAGGCATTGAAAATAATTTTTCTATGGCCAGGTAGACCTATAAAACTTAATGAGCAGGAGAGTGAGGGAATGTCCTTAAAGTGGTCACTAAGATGGCAGAGACATGTGTGGAACCATGGCCTCATGCGTCAGCAGAAGACAGTTTGTCCTTTCAGTCTCGGTAAGTTTTCCAAGAAACATGTCGGTTTTACTAATCTAGAAGTTACTCATAATGCAAGGTGATCTGTACTATAACCAAAGTAATTGGCCTGATTTGCATAAAGCCATCTGCCACTGCAGATGATCCCAAAGCAATAAGCAGAGAGAAGCAAAGCTCGGGGAGAGGGCGGAAGCTCTGAATAGGAAAAGTGAAATATTCTCTTTTCTTCTTATGGAATAAAATTAGACCTTACCATATTTGTGAATGATTCAGAGACTCAAAAGGATTCCCCACAAGGAAAGCTGAAATGGTTTTTACTCATAAAAAAGAAAACACCAACTTGCCTTGGAGGCCTACAGTCTAATCACTGGGATCTGACAACAACATGACCATGAAAGGCAGTATCTGCAGCTCCACAAATGAGAAAAATGAGGAAAAACAGCAAAGAAAAAGTCTGCAAGTGGATGAAGCCTAAGCTGGTCTCAGCAGCATTATGCACATCTGTACCTTGTATTCTTAGGCCAGATTGAATTATTTAGCTCCAATTAGATTTGTGCAAATGGACTCAATAAACCATATTTATAACATGAAGGCTTCAAATGGATTGTAGACTTGATTGTGAGATATTTAATGTCACCCCATCCCACCCCCATCCCTGCAAAAAAAAAAAAAAAAAGGATGAGCAAGGAAGGTACAGACTTGAAATAAACCTCACACCAAATAAACAACCAAATTTACCAGCCACCCACTAGGATAAAACGTTTTCCCAGAAATGGCATGATGGGGAAAGATGAAATAAGACTAAAAAAAACCAACTCAGAGGAGAGACATGAGCAAGACCAGATAGTGATAAAGTTCCCTCCCCACTCTGCCACTGCAAGAAGAATCTTTCAAGATTCACTGTGATGAAAATACCAGTCCCAGGTGATTTTTAAAAAGATGACTTCCCTACAGAAGCCTCAAGACTGTAATGCCTCTTTGAAACTGATCATTTATTTTAGTTCTTCTTATTCTAAATCACTGGGTACTACTTCCTAAGGCTCCAAGGGCATTCCTGAAAATATAAAATATAGAGTCAGTCCAATTTAGCTTTTAGCAAGAAATTTCGCTGTTATACATGCACTTGTAATGGTGGGAAAATCAATTATGAACATCTTAGCACAGAGCGGGGAGGTGGGTTTTTAAGGTTGTTTTTGTACGCTGTGATAGGATAACTGGTTAACAAAATAATTAAATTATACATAAACCAGTTATCCCATGGGGAGAAGGGAAAAACAAAACAAAGCACTTTTTTCTTTGGGAAACCTCGGAGGATTACCAGGATTGGAAAAAAGCCAGCATTGGCAATAACTCCGAGTACTGAAACAAACAGCTCTCAAATGAGCAACATTTTCCTAAATAGGAACACCATTAATAACATTCAGGGAAAATGTTGCTAAAGGTTAATAACAACCTCTTAATCCCTAACTCTGCTTTCTTTTGATCTGTCCAGAGTCCTTTAACAAGCTTAACCCACCAGTACAGGATGCTACCAATAAAGCTGGACCCCAAGGTGAGCCCCACCTTCTATGGCTCTATTTCAAGTCACTCTCAATAGCTCTTCTACTCTTGGCTCTCAGAGCCCTAGCGTCCTACAGCTGTCTTTGACCACCTTCCTTCACACTGTCTCAACTGTGGCTCCTGATACTCTCTTACTGGGACACAATTTATATTTCCCCTCAGTATGGAGACACACTGGGTGCCCCGCCTTCCCGCTACCACCCTCTGCCGTCAACCCCATCTCTGCCCAGTTTTTATGGCCTGGGAAAGACCTGCCTCCAGCCCTCTGACAGGGAAGGGACTGGACAGTCTTAAAAGTAGCCTACGATTCACCACTGTAAGTCTAAGAAATTAAAACCGTCTGAGCTCATGGCAACACGCACACAACAATCGATCCAGGAGAAGCATTCCTCCAGTAACCTTCAATTGGAAAGCAAACTCTTTGACATGAACTAATCTTTTTAGCTCACTAGCCTCAGGCCACAAAATGAAGATGCAACAAAAACAAAGACCAGCCAGGCTAAAACTTTAGAACATCAATGCACATTCCATGGAAAGGACCCTATAAAATCACTTTTCTTGAACAAGGAGATACAAAAGATAACAATTTGTTTTTTTGACATTCCTCCTCACAGTGATTTAAACTTCCTTGAACAAAAAGGGTTTTGCAGCTTAAACATGAACACTGCGAATCAAAGCATTCTCTGAGTCCGTAGAAGTCTAATCTGGTAAGACTTATTTCCAAGGTCTGTAGGATAGACAATTCATTATATTAAAGGGAAAAAACGTGTTGGCAGATACATAGACAACTCAAGTTGGAGTTTAAAGAGGGAAAGAAAAAGTAACAAAGTTACTGGGAAAACTAATAGATTCAATGTATACATGCATGTTGTTAGATATAATATGGCAAAACTTCTAGTAGTAATGTTCTGTTCTTTTGAAAGAATGATTAGTCTTTGTTGTGGCTTTTTCTTTCATGATTAATGTGAAGTATTCTGTTCTAATGGGTCACCAACACACAGGATTTCATGCTGTATTTTTCAGATGATTTAAGTACAATCAAAACTAAATGAGAAAAATATATACGGAAAGTCTGAGATCGTCTGTGGATGATGGTGTTCTGGGTGCTTTTCATTTTCTTTTTGCTAATCTACATATTATACATTTCACAATGAACATTAAGAGAATAATTTTTAAAGGAGTTATATAAGCATGCCATCACGTATGAAGACTTACAATATGTTGGGCTCCATAACACACACACACTACACGATTTAATTCCCCATAGGGCCTTATAACATGGATACTATCAACATGTTACCTGGGATGAAGTCAAGGCTTAATGTGAATTTGCCGCTATAACTTCTCTAGTGAGTGGCAGGGCTGAGTGACAACTCAAATTTGTTGTCTCCCTAACCAGGATACATTAGAGTTACCTTTAGGCCAAGCTTAGTGAGGGATAAGGGACCTATTTCAGCGGGGAAAGATGACTGAATCTGGGATCAGTCAAAATGGACTCTATGCCCAACTATGCAAATAACTAGGCATTTAATTTTAAACCATTTGGCTTTCAAGTTTTCTCATCTACTTTAGAGTTGGATCAGGTAACCCTCTTAATTTTATTATCCTATAAGATCTGAAAGACAGAATTTATGTCATCCTGTTAGGCTAGTTGGTCACATATCAAATGAATACAGTTGACTATATATCTATTCATTTGACACACTGATTACACTTATATATACTCACATTCATAAACATATACACATTTGTTATACTGATGACATCAAATGAAGTTACTCATTAAGGGATAAGCTAAAAAAAAGTAAGCCCCCTGCACTTCTCTCTACCACATGCCAACTCCCGCCTCCTCTACTTTCTAAAGTTTTAATGATAAAATGCAGATAGTAAAGGATGTCTACTCATGTAAGTGGTAAGTGGTTCAGCTTTCTAAGACTGGTCCTCTGCACCAATACCTGAGTTGATTAATATTTTGGTCCTTATCTGAAGAGTTGTGTAGGGGGAGTGGGCTGGGAGAGACCAAGAATAAAAGTTGCGATGTACTAGGAGCCAAGCATGAGAATAAGCCCTTTACACACGTCATCTCATTTGGTCTTTTCAAATAACCTCCTGAGAAAGGCTAATTATCATGCCAGATGAAGAGGCTGAAGCACAGACTAGATACAGCTAAAGACGGAAATGCCACCTGTCTTGTCCCAGAGCTGGTAAGCTCAATCAGTATTTGAAGCACATTGGCTAAACTTCTGGTTCCTACAGTCCCATAAGCACAGTCCCGTCTTCAATACTGGAGTATCACCGCCTAGGTCTTCTAAAAGAAATCCTTTAAAATGATTATACTCTTAGTGCATGGCAGTACTGTACGGTTAACGAATGTAGCAACAATTCTGCTTCCAACTCTTGCTCCTACCATTTGT